CCCAAACAAATGGTAAAGTATGCGCAGCAGAAGCGATTTTCAAAAATACTATTTAGAACTTATCTGCAGAATGTTGCCATGAATTGTTTAGAAATTTGACAGCAAATACTATAAATTATAGATGTTAATTTTCATTCATTAAAAGTTCTTCAAAGAGCATTTGAAAGAGAGATGAAAAGAATTAACTTGTACTAGTAGTAGGCAGATTCCAATACTTAGAAGTCATGATAGCGAATGCAAATTGAGCTTTCTAAACCAAGACTCTTAAAGCATGTTATTAAGTATTTTCCTTATCAATTTGAGCAGCAGTGTGGTGCTTTAAAAGGACCAGGTATGGGGGTCCCTACTAGCACTGGGCAGATGGACCAGTACTACTCGGTTTTATGCTGCCTCATTTACTTAGTGTTTTGCAATCCTTAATGTGCACAGCTGGCAGCTGAATGCAGGTTTGATACTAACAGTTTAGACATCTTTAGATGTAGCAGATGGAAAATTTTACACAAATAAAGTAGGAGAAAGTGTGCAATTAGGTTTTTATCTGCAGTTACACGATGCATCCTGTGCTTTCGTTTAGAACATCACCTTGGTGGGTGGTCATCATCTCTCCTTGCTCCAAAGCTGTACCTTCTTGACACCACACTTGATGCTGGATGCCTGCCCAAACACCAAACTTCTGTTATTGTCGAGTGTGAAGGAAATCAGAACTGCAACAATCAGCAAAAGACAAAGGCAGACCAGCAGTGTGACTCCAGCAGCCCAGTACATTATGGTTACATTCCATGCTAGTTAAGTCACTATGGTAAAATGCTTGGCAGGATATTTTTTCGATAGTTTATTCATTATGTTCATTATTATGAGCTGTAAAGACTATGAGAATTTCATTTTTTAAATGTCTTATGGAATGTATCACTTTCTTAGATCTTGTAGACATGCTGTGGAAACCATAACATAAAATATGAGTTACTTACAATAACTAATTTTAATCCCATCTGCTAAGTATGACAACATTAGCATTTCCACTTAATTAAAAACACCCTTAAAGCAGCAATGTTTTAATCACTCCATTTTATTTACTCTCCTCCGGTGTCACTTATAATTGTAACTTTTTATTTTTTAATAATGAGGGATTTTTTTTTCTCTGTGCATCACACAAAAAAGTGCTGTCGATAATTAGCAGTCTTCTGTTATTACTAGACTCAGGTGTCACAACTGTGTCTCATCCTCATTACAGTAAAAAATTTCACCTATCAGATTCATTATTGCTAGATAATGCGGCTGAGAGCCTTAGCAGGCCCTCCAGAAAAGTAATTCAGCCAAGCAAAATTATCAGCTAATTATATTTAGAATCAAAAGCCCAACAACTATTTGCAGATAAATTATATGAATTGAAGTGAATAGATCTGAATATTAAGATTCATAGATTTAGCAGATGATTTGTTAATTGGAATAAAAAGGTCATTTACTAGCCATTTTAACAATAGATCAATTGGAACTCTGTTTATGATTTAACTAGGAGCGCTTAAGGATTGAAATGAAGAAGCGTTGTGTGATTGTTGAGATGTGATGCTTCTCAGGAACGAGGCAGGGAGGTGTGGAGGCAGGGAAGCTTCCCAGCCCCTGCTCAGCCTCAGCCTGCTTCTGCTCCCATGACATCCTTAGGTCTGGGCAATAAGGGGGTGCTCACAGAAGGAATTATTGCACCGCAGGGTGAGCTGTCAGGGAATGCGTGCGGACTTGGGTGTGGAAAGGTGGGCAGTGCAGATAGGATGAGCTGGAAAGGAAAGAATCACAGAGTTTAACTCGTAGTCGGTGTGCTCCAGAGGCACTGAGTTCGGATCTGCCTGACTTGTGATCCTGATGGAGGTTTCTCGTACGGGGAAGCTGTGTGCACAAGCGATGACTCAGGCTGCATCTTGGCCTGCAGTTTTGTTGGAGGGAGCTGCTCTTTTTTCATGCAGGAGATACGATTAAAAAGCAAATATTTTAACATAACTTAGTGATCTGAGCTATTACCGAAATGTCCACATTTTCGCTCTTTTTTTTTTTTTTTTTTTTCCCCCTAGATTAAAGAAAACTTTAAAAATCTATTTGCTTTGACATATGACACAATATTTAAGAACTGAAATCATCAATTAAATCACACATCAGAAACATTTCCGTTTGGTAAAAAAAAAAAAAAATATAGTGCTAGACGATGTACACTTTGAAATTGTTGTTAATGTTTAAAATGCAATCTGAAGTGCATATGTTATTTAAAAAAAAAAGCCACATAAATTACAAAATTTAAAAGTTTATGTAAAAACTAGCAATCATGGCTTAGCAAAAGCATTTGCAGGGGGATATATCTTTGGGTTCTGTGGATATGCGTAGTTTTCTAGCATCAGGGCTGGTTGTGATATTCCTTATTTAATTTTTTGGCTCCTTAAGATGGATTCAAGCTAAAGGAAGAAGGGTTTGGTCTGCACTGGCCTGAGTGCCTGTAATAAAGCCAACGTGCCCATGAGTGCAGCAAAAGCTTTTTGGGTTGTTCCTGAGAATGAAAGGTGAACGCTGACAGAATTTCAGAGCTTGGGAAACCGAGGGAAAGTGAAGCTAAAAATAAAGTCCTCGTATGGTCAGCATGTTGGAGGAAATTCAAAGCCTCTCATCAAATAAACATATTTAAAGAAGTGTTTTGAATTTCGGTGTGTAATTTCTGGCCAACAGAAATTACGGTTGTATCTTTAGGAGGACATTATGTCACATCAGTGGTCATTCTGCAAAAACAAAAAAATAAACTGCAAACTTGATGCCTTAACCCGTTCTGCTATTAAAATGCAGGCAGGAATGGGATTGCTTTTCTTAGAGTCACTGCTAGGAAACTTTTGTGCCATTGTGTCGCAGTTCCAAAATATTTGGGCTCCATGTTATGGCAGATGCATAAACCAGCCCTGGAAAAAAACAAACCCTCAAAGCATCACCAGGAGGACCTTGGTATTTATTACAAAGAGTTTGCGTCCTGATAAAGAAAGGGAGTGATCTGAAGCTCGTGCTAGCACTGGAATATCCCAGCCCAAAGCGTGCTGCCTGTTGTTCCTGGGGCCATTTCATTGCAGCCTTTGGAGTCCGAGTGTGCAACAGGAGCATCTCTGTGGCTACACCCATAGACACGTGCACGTATGCCCTCGTTTCTCTGCAGCATTATTAAGAGAAGCCGTCCATACTTCACCATGTTGTTACATGTGTCTGTCTGCTGATTATAAAATGTGTTAAGCAGTATTTAAAAAACAAAAAAATGCAGAGCTGCGCTTTGATTTATTCAGCGAACAAAACATATGCTCACTGTTCTGTTCTATGTAATTCATATGATCAATAAAATTTTCTTTCAAAAGAGCAACTTTGGCATTTAGAAGGATTGTGCTGCTGAGCAGGAAAATGTTTTGCTCGTGCTGCGTGCAGTCAACCTCTGTGGTCCTGCACCAAAGGAAGTTTTTGGCTCCCTGATGTCGTGCTCATCTTCTGATTGCTTTTAACCTTCAGGGTGGAAGCGGTGCATTGCGGCTGTTACCCGTTGTGTCCCAAGGCCTTGGTGTACCCGGAGATCTTCCCAGGTAGCTGCTTTGCTGCACACACTTCTGGTTGAAAGGCGATGCGTGATGCGTGCTAAAATGTAAAGTTTGAGTATAAACTCGAGCAAAAGCAATTGTTTATTTGGCAAGCCGACATGTTAGTGTTAAGGAGAATTTTATGTGTTTTAATACATTAGAAGAAGTTTATATTTGCCATCTGTTCTTTTAAGATAACACAAAAGCAAGTTTTGAAATAGCATTCTTCATTGTTAGCATACACAACCCATAATGATAGATTTTTGTTAGAAGGTCAGCGACGCTGCAATGGCTTGCAGATTTTTTTTTTGAGATAGAGAAAAAAAAAAAAAGGAAAAAAGAAAAAGGAGGCCTGAAAATCACACCAAATTATTTAAACAATTTAATACTTAATAGTATGCAACTGCGATATGGGATACACACTAATGTAGTACCAGTTCTTTGAAAAATCTCATCACTAAATGTATCACATATGCATTGTGTTACATTAGAATAATGTATTTTAATCACCCAAAGGAGATGTCTAAACAGCACAACTACACAGTCTTATTTAGCATTAAACATCCTTGTGAGCTGAGGTAACCTTATAAAATCATGCTTAAATAATGTAAAACACGAGGCGGCACAGAGCAATATGCATTTTTAATTAGTAAAGTGACTAATATCGAGTGTGTGCTTTGAGGTTTTTGTTTCATTAAAAATGTATCTGTTTTTCCTGCAGCTGAATATCTGTATTCTACACCTGAACAGCTTTTTAAAAGGCTTCAGAATTTCTGCAAGAGACCTGATATTGTAAGGAAACATCTCTATAAGGTAGTTGTTGGGAAGAGTTTTACATGATATAATGCCATATTGAAGTACAAAGGCAAAGAAAAAACCCTTAAAACAACAACATTTAATTAACATACTAATGTTTAAAGGAAACATGCTAGGGAGGGATATTAGTCGTTACACTAACAAGGATTAATTAAACTAGATGCCGGTTGTATTAACCTAGGTCTTATGAAATACGTGCACTTAATGCATGCTACATGCTTTTTTTTCTTGTTTTTTTTTTTTAATTTATTGTTTTCTAAAATGACTGTCCTTTACATTGGGACCCAAGAGGCTTATAAAAATGAACCTGGATTAATGTAACTCATTAGTCTAAAAGGAAAATAAAAGAAAGATCCTACAATTATACTAATGAGGATAAACCTACCTTCCTATCCTAATTTAATCTTCAGTCCTCAAAACGTGCAGGTGCTGGCTATCAGGTAAGGTTTCTCTGCCTTTTTGGAAATATTAGAATTCTTTTGATGATGGTGATTATTTTAGCTCCATTTTTTTTTATGTTGAGCATAAATGCTTATTAGTACCGTGATGTCCTGGTGTTTATTGTGTCCTGTCCTTTGCCTTTACTTATCTGGAGAAAATACATGTTCAGTGGTAGATGTTCTGTTCCATTTTTGATCGAGTGTTCCAATGCCAGACTGACTTTCCCAGCTTTAAGGTGTGGATTACATAGAGCACTAAATTGTACGTTATTTCAGTAAAAACATATTGTTACACTATGCTGCTGTTAGAAAACAGCTGCTATTGTCTGCATGCTAATATGTAAGCTTGCAGCATTTTCTGCTTAGTTGCAGCTGTAAATGCTGGACATGCTGTGATCGGGGCAGATGTAAGTCACCTTTTTGTGACAAAGGTGCTTCAGGTAGAATCTGTAACAGTCTGCATTCAGTCCTTCAAGGGAGCTCATGGGTTACCTGTGCAGTGCAAAAGCACACTCTTCTGCAGCACTGTAGCCACCCAGCATGCTGTTACTGAGCAAGTCGAGTCATCTCCTTCCCCATGCTGCAAGCACACCTCACCTCTCTGCGTTCCTCTGAGGACCAGAAGCTGTGGTCTTGCTGTGTCTCGTCTGCCTCCCCACCCTTCTGCACACACATGGTGCAGGAGTGAGAGTTTAGCCCCAGTTTGACTCCTTATGTGACCTAAAAATAGACATTTACATAATGATACATCAAAGATGATGTCGTTTCTGCAGGAAACAGTTAAACTTCAAGAAAAAAAGGAGAGAACCAAAAATGCAATTTAACACCCAATTTCAAGCTCATTATCTTTCATTGTCTATTAACTTGGCAATGGTTCAGAAGGTAGCTCATAATAGTTTAAAATGCTGACTGAACACTTCCAGTGCTCAGCATTACTTCTGGAGTCAGTAGTGTTGTGTAGTTATACATGGTGGCTTCAAAGGGTAAACAGTCCTTAAATGTCTGCCTTGACATTTTCCTGTGCTTCCAGTCCAACAAATAGTTTTGGGTCTTCTCTGCACGTGTTCAGCCCCAGCTCCTAAAGAAAACCAAAGCTGGCACACCAAAAATGGGAATAGCAGCAGCACAAATACTGATATTAAATAGGATGGGTTCCAAATGTGGTGCGGGGATTGGTGTGCACGTGTGTCCCATGAGCAAAAGAACTAATCTGCTCTTCAAAAATAAAAACCAACAAACGTTCCTTGGAATTGTTGGCAGGCAGGTTGCCCATGGAAGAATTATCCCATGGGTGCCAATTCTGTCCCTTGTAGGCAGACTTGTGCTCCATCGTTCCCTGGGTGCAACAGGTAGCAACTGCATTGAATGGGGATCGTTTTAAATTGAGTCAAGGGACTAATCCAATACCTGTGAACACCAGGGGAGGGATCCTGTTGTCTTTAATAGGCTTTGGATCAGCTCTGAGAATGCTGTTAGAGTTGTCTTTTGTACCTACACCCACGTACACTAAGTCTGTGTTTTGCCCTGAAACTGTCCCTGAAACCTAGAGAAGTGCTAGCTTAGGTACGTGCTGCTAATGGAATTAGAGGTGGAATTATGCTTCTTTTAAGGAAGCTGGAGAGAGGGAAATCATGAAATCACTTCCACTTTCTTCAGATTGGTATAATGTTTTATACTATACTGCAAAATTTGCACACTGGCTGCTTCTCTTCCAGAAACCTTCCTGCCTAAGTCCATACAGTAGCTGTGCAGTCTTGACAAAAAAGCAAATAATGCTGTTCTTTATTGCTTGGAGATTCTGCTTTATAGATCAGAAAGCAATCATCATCAGAAGTACTTTGAGTTATCTTTTTACATACTGTTGTTGTTTTATTACTGAGGATATCCATAATAATTAGACAGCGGTCTCATTAAACAGGCACTTATTCCCCCGGTTGTCCTCAGTGCTTGTGCAGCAAAGTTTGGGGCAAAAAGAAGATGAATGGCAGCGGGGCAGCCAGGTTAGGGAGCCAGACACGGTGAATATCCCTGTGACAGTGCACAGACCCACGTATTAAACTGTAATAGCTTAATTCCATTCATGCTGGCAGACTTTTAAAAATGTCCATAATGTAAGCACCTACGAAAGGCTTTCCAAATGACACATTGCTTACCCTGGGTATTCTCACAGCTCCAGGGCTGGTTCATTTGCATTTCCACACTGCCTTCTACCAGTCGTTAAGAGAAGATCGAGATTCGTGGAAACCGAACCGCGTTTGTTATCAATTATTTGTTCTAGTTTTAGGGAATCAAAAGTTCCTCTTTGGTTCTCGGTGTGCGTGGTTGCTAAATTCAGTGCCAAAGTGAAGCCAGTATGAACAACAGGGCGTCAGTTTCCATTGGAGCACACCACAAGACCTCTCAGTATTTGCAAGCTCCCTTGAAAAAATAGAAAAGAATACATACATATACATACATACATATATATATATATATATATATATATATATATAGGGCAAAGCATTTGTTTCTGCATTATTTTCTTGAAGTTTACCTTTCAGTTCCCTCACTTCAGTTTCTTAATTTAAAACAGCATGTATAAAGATTATACAGTGGAAAGGGACAAGAAGAGTTGCCAAAAGCCAGGCATGGAAGGAGCTGACAACTTTAAATAATCTCTCCCAGCCCTCCCAGCTGAATGAGTGCTGGTTGACATGCTGTCAGCTTCAGTTCCTGCAGAAAAATTCTACTCTCACTCATGCTTGTTTAACAGAGAAAAGAATTTGGCCCACTTTCTGACATTCATCTTCTCATTTCCATCACACTACAGAAGCTCACCTGCTTATGAAAAGACACATGGTGTGATTTTTTTTTTTTTTCTTTTTACACCACTGTAGAAGATAAAGAAGAATGTTGAATTCAAAGGGATTAAAACTGCTGTAAAATCAAATTAAGAGCCCAGTTAGACCTTAGACATCTGAATTGTTCCAGTCTCAAGATTTGCCTGATTAGGGCAGTTCTAACAAACCTTTCTCCTTTTTTCTTTTGTCTTTTTTTTCATCCTTCTCTTTTTGCTCTAATTGACATAAAGCATTTACTTCAATCTTTCAGGCAAACAGATAGAAGTTCCTTTCTGGTCCAGCTCTGATATCTGGGCACGGTTAGGTGGCAAAAGGCATCCCCAGCAACTTGTTGCACCTGAATGCAGCTGCCCTCAGCCAGCTCAGTGAGGTTAGTGTGGGCTGACCCTGTTGCATGGAGCATAAGTTCTTCATAGTTCTTGCACAGGCCATGTAAGAGCCAGAAATGATGAATCTGCCTTTGCACTTCCCTACTACCCAGCAGAACTCTACAAAAATGCATTTCTCTGTAGGGAAATGCTACATAACAGACATTCAGGCCCTGGGAGACCTCTGTCCTTGACTTTTCTTGGCTTTCTGCAGCAAGGCAAGTGTATGTTTGCAGATGGCATTCCAGGCTTTGCCTTCCCAAGCTCCATACCTTCACCTGCATTGAGTGTGTCCTTGTTCTAGAGCTTTTTGCTTGCAAGCAGAAGCTCTCACTCCATCTTTTCCATATCATTCATTATTGTGTAAACGTTTGTCAAACACTTACAGTATCCTGGACTTTTCAGTCTCTCCTCGTGAATGTTATTCCATGTTTATATTCTTATCTGCCATCATTCAAGCCATTCTGATGCTTGAGAGCTGTTTTTGTGCTGGTGTGATCATTACTTTACAGAGTATTCTAGGCCATGCCATCAATTTATGTGATATGTTGTACTCTGTGATAATTTTCAACCTGCTCCTTATGGAGCTGAACACACTGTTTACTTTTTAACCGTGAATGTATATTGAGCAGATGTTTGCTTACAGTGCTCTCCAGATCTTTTGTCCTGAGCTGATAAAGTTAATTTAGAGCTCTACAGGCTTCATGAATAGTACAAATATTTCCATCCATCCTGCTGGCTTTCCATTCATCTACAGAGCAAGTTTGCAGAGGCAAAAAGAGGCATCTACCTGGTTGGTATTAGATGCAGGTCGACAGGTTGGAAGCACAAAACCGTGTCTGTCCATAGAGTGGTAGAATCATAAAATCATTTCAGTTGAAAGAGTCCTCTGAAGACCATCTGGTCCAACCCCCCTCATGTGCTCATAGTCCCATCCAGCCTGACCTTGGATGTCTCCAGGAACGGGGCATCCACCACCTCTCTGGACAACTTCTCCTAATGCTCCATTTCCAGCAAGTGTCATTTAAAGAGGTTTCAGAGATGGTGTAGCTCTGCTTTTCACAACCTGTAGGGAAAGGTTATAGCAGCTAGGAACTCTGGAGCACAGTGTGCTGCATTATCCATCTCTTTGACATTGCTAGGAAGAGCTGCTTAAGAATGGGTCCCAAGTAGGATATATGTAAGATTCTAAGTAGGATGTATGAGATCAAGACTTTTTATGTAGAAGAGGACATTGATTACTTACTTAGATTAGCAGACCATGGGTAATTTAGGAAGGGACCTCTGGAAATCATCTGGTCCAGCCTCTGCTCAAAGCAGGGCCAGCTTCAAAGTAGGATGGATTAAGCTGCTCAGGCTTGTATCAAGGCTAGACTGAAGTCTTCACATTTTTCATTCCTATATGTAATTCTGTCGTAGTCAAAGATCTAGCTAGCTTAGAGATAGAAATCTCTTCTGGAGCATGGGATCAATTTTATGTATTCTGGGACAACCTGAGGTCCACAGGCTGTATGTGAGTCCAGAAAAAGCTTCAGTAGAGTGAGTTCTGCTAGCCTGTGTGGCTGTTCACAGTAATAGCAATGGCTTATCAGGGACTATGAGAGTTGCCTGCTAGGTCATTCTGGATCCCAGCATATGCTGAGTATCTCCTTGTCGTTGAGTTGTTTGCTAGGAAGCAGAAGTGTCCACTCCACCTATTCCCAAGGCTTGCATTGCTCTTCCTCTCCGAGATATAGATATATATGGGAGCTTTCAGCTCTCTGAATCACAGAATCACAGAATTGTAGGGGTTGGAAGATCTCTGGATCTCTCCAGAGATCATCATGTCCAACCCCCCTGCCAAAGCAGATTCCCTACAGCAGGTCGCACAGGTACGCATCCAGGCAGATCTTGGACATCTCCAGAGAAGGAGACTCCACCACCTCCCTGAAGATTCTGGCCTACAGTTCATGGAAGTTGGCTATGCTTGTGGAGCAGGAAGAAAGCATTCATGAAGAAAACAGTTGTGTGCGCATCTTTCAGCATAAGCAGCAGGACTTTGAACTGTGTATTATAACCATATTAGATAGCTTCAGTTTAGTTTTAGAAAGTAAATGAAAGCTGGCAGACGAACCGTAGCCACCGCGAAAGAGTAGATGAAGAAATGAGTCAAAGGAAATGTGAATGACTTCGAAAGAAGAGTTGCAAAAAGCATGAAAACTTTTGGGTTATCAGTAAAGTGTATCTAAACTGCCTACAGAAAGAAAGCCTGAAACTGCTCTCCTAGTGTTGTGGATGATCAGTGTGTTCTGAACCTTCCCTTCCCAGTGGAAGGGTATCTTGCATAATTCACATCCAACATTTATGGTTTTGTTTAAAGATAGAATAAATGAGTTTTAAAAAGCCAATAATAGAAACCGTGGTTTGTTCAGAAAGGTTCATTCAGGGAAATAGTCTTCTGAGGAGTATTGTATAGCTCTGACTCGGTCCTCACAGTGCACCCAGTTTGTGTAAAATAATGCTGTCTTTTGATGGTGGCTTCCAAAGGTGGTTGGAGTCTGAAAGTTGAGCTCAAAAAGTAATTACTACAAGCTGCTTTCCACCTTGATTCTTCCTTAATACTCACGGAAAGAAGGAGCTGGGTCACAGAGTAAAGCTGACCTGTTACAGTTTGGCTCTGTAAATTGCTCTGCTTTCTTGCACACCGAATCTCAGCTTTTGTGCTGAAGAATAATTTTTAATTCTTGATTTTGTTAAGGTAATTTTAAGAACACGCATAAAATGTGTGCCTGATCAGTACGGTGAGCTTGAGCTGCAGCTATCCTGAACCAGCAGGTCTGAGTGGATGAACTGGTCTTACTGAATTCTGAATGTTAACCCTGAAGTCTAACGATGGCAAGCGCAAATGTTGATTATTTCTGTCATGCTCGTAGGACACAAGAGACAAAAAAGTTGGTCATATCCTAGCAGATACTGCAGTGCTACTGACACCTCGCTATGCTGTCTCTTCATGCAAAGATCTTGCTTTATGTGAAAACTTTGCTACTCGTGATGATTTTTGTCTCTGCATATTTAGGAACTGTTGACTGAATCACGTTCTATTCCTTGAAAATACGAGTGCTCAGACTTTTGCAGAGTTATCACTCATACAGAAAATGAGCTGCATCTTTCTTTAGGATACGGGGCCGTGCTGGGACAGCGCTGGGACAACCCTGGGCATGTGGCAGTGGGGTCAGAGTGGAGGAAGAGTGGGTGCTGCCAAGGCTGTTGAGGTCCCTTCTGTGTCCCAGCAGCTCACGTTTTCTCCATGTGCTCTCTTCCTCGTAGGGCGAGATGGCTGGCTTTTCCTGGGCAGCGCTCCGTGGTAAATTCAGGTCTCTGCTCGCAGCAGAACCGAAAGAAGATTTGTGACAGATGGGGCTAAGTCACAAACTTGCAGCCTCAGGCAGAATTGTGGAAGTTTCCAGAGTGTGCCCATATTTACCTGATCAGAGAGAAAAGAAAATCTGCAGAGGAAGCCGAGCCTGGCTGCTTGTCATAGCTGACACAGAGCCATCTGCCACAAACCTGTGGCGGCTTCAGATCTCCAATCCCTGCCACCACCCCAGCTCAAATTAAATACAGATTCTTAGAGACGTTATGATGGTTACACATGTCCTCGGCATCACATGCAGGAGACTGTTCAAAAAAAATATGTGGCCTGTTGTATAACCGCACTCATGTATCCCATATGTGGTGCCACATTGAATTTCCGGTTGAATCTGTTTTTATCCTTTGTACTGGATGACATGGTGCCTGAATTCTTTCTTTTCGCCGACACGATGGCAGCCAAGCTGCAGCTTCAAACGCTCACACTTGGCTGGGTTTCTACCTAGGTTGCCAGGTTATCATTGGAGCCTTATTGTGTCCTCAAAGGGCCACAGGGCCTGAAAGGAGGATCCGAGTGCTACCGGACTAATTGGGCAGCCATCTCAGAATTGTTTGTAGGCAAAGGGCTGCTTTAGCACTTTTCTTTTTGCAAATTAATGACTCTCTGGCACAGGGGTTTTTAAGTGAAGGTATTAATAAGGGGTCTGGCAGGTAATCCCATGATTCGCGGAGTTACATTTGCATTTAATTAATCTTAAAGAAAGCTGAAAGATAAACAGCTGTAATTCAAACTAGCATGGGAAATATGCTACGTGGTGCCATCTATCCGATAAAATGAAAGCTGAGACACTTGTTTTATTTCTCTCAAGGATGGAGAACAAACAGATAACAGCCAAAATACTTCCAATAAAAAGTAGTAGTTGGAATGTAACGGCCGTTCATCAAGCATCTTTGCATCCCGTTACGAATACAGTCTTTTAAAGATAAATCACTTATGATTCCAGCAGTCAAGCTTCTATATTTGTTGATGTAAAATGTTTTGAAGATGGAGATTGTACAATAAATTTTTAATAAAGTGCCCACTGCAATTTTTAATTAGCATATCTCATTCATGTATAAGTGTGTACATCTATCTGTATGTTTATCAGTATGCACATCCTTGTGTCAGAGTCAATGAATGCAATTGTGTCTTTATCTGATGAAGTCGAATCTGCTTTGCAAATGGTAATAAAATGTTCTGACAATTCCAAGATTTTCGACAGTGTTCTGGGAAGAAGCAGGAAGAAGATTCCCGGGAAATCATCGTGATGTAGAGGATGGCCAGACCTCTCTACAGACAGGTACGGTTCCAGCTCCCCTCCCCAGAAGCCCAAGGGAGATCCAGTGGCATATGATTAAGTGTTCGGGTGTTTTCTGGCACTGACAAGTTGTAATTTTGCAGTGATCACTTGTCTTACCTGTTGGTTTCTCTCTGTTTCTGCTCGATCAAAGCCTGGCTGTAGACATGGAATGTGATCTTCTCAAGGAAACGTGCATGAGTGCGGTCCTCCCATTTGGTAGAGCCAAGTAACAGGACTTCTTGTCTTCACTAACTCTAACACTCCTTGCACCAGCAAGAATAAATCAGGTGACCTTTTCTTTTTTTTTATTTTTTTTTTTACTATTGGGGAAACTGAGGCATGGTACAGAGAAGATGAATTCCTCCAGGTTTTGCAGCGAGACGCTCTCCAAACTAATGCAAGGGAGAGAGGAGATGCTGTGACCTCACGCCATGGCTGGTGGCAAGCAGGCTGCACATGCTGTGCTGTGAGACTCAGTGCTCAGTGGTTTAGGGAGTCCTGCTGCCTGCAGTGTGTGCCCCAGTCACTAGAGGTGTCCACCTCCTCCAGGCTGGGGCCCTACTTTGCTTCAGTTACTGAGCAGTGGCACTCAACCATTCCTAGCTGTGGCTGAAGCATTGTCTGGATGGAAATTTTTTGCCTCAGAATTACAAACCCCTGCAAATAAGGTTTTATAATAGAAACACTTTAATTGTAGAGTAACAAATAGCAATGCTGCATTATATGATGATAACTTCTTTACATTGCTAGTGAATATTCACGGCCCATCCAAGGATACTTTCATGTGTGCTGCATCCCCCAGGCCCAGGAGGTTGACCTGGTACCTGGGCTACAAGGTCCCCAGTCAGTGGGGTGATGCTAGGCTTCATCCGGGTGGTCTGGGCAATATTTCCCTGATGGAGGATCCCCCAGCCCGGGTGCAAAACCACCTCGTGAGTTTTGGCTGCTGGAGCCAAATGCAGACAGCCACTGTGCTGCTTCATTTGAAGCCCTGGCTTCAAAAGGTCACCGTGACAAATTGGGATCTCTTTCCCATTGTTCCTGCACACAAGAGTAATCTGTGAATGTGCAGAGCAGTTCTTATAAGTAAAATGACAGAATTAGCCCTTGACTTACTCCTGTATTTATCGACGTTTCACCTGCGTTGACACAGCAGCTGTGGGCACAGCTGAAGCAGAGCAGGTTTCTGACTCCGACCAGACAGCTCCTTACTCCTGCATCAGTACAGCCCAGGCAACTAATCCTACAATCCCTTTGTCTTAGTATTTGAGATCACAGGAAACACAGGTTTATTCCACATGAGAATTGCCTTTCTCCACGTAATAGAAAAGAAAATCCTAAAATAACGAGGGCATTTTGGTGAGCAGCGTGCAGCACCGCCGGCCCTGCTCCGTGTCTGCAGCGCCCAGACCTCTGCCTTCGCTCCAAGCTGTTCTGAATTAGGAGGCTCGATTCTTCTAATTGCATTTTTAAAGACCGAGCCAGCAGTTCATTAGAAACCGTGGAGCAAATTCTGCTTCTCTATTACACCAATATAAATCTTGAATGAATTTATATCAGGATAACTGGGAGGGCGGAATGTACCTCCCATATTGTTCTTCAGATTATTAAAAGTTACAGGGCCTTGAAAATTAAATTCACCTTTCCCCACTCGAGCCACTCGGGCTTTGTTTTTCTTCCAGTATGGACAGTTGTAATGAATTAGTCCGTCCCATTTCAGCTCATAGTCACTTTTAAGTTTGGTTCTCATCCACTAGCCCGGGACTAGCCTGTGTGGAAAGGACCAGGGGGCATTTTCTTTCAAACAAATTGCTTTCATGGGAATAATTTCCTCGAGAATTATATTAAAACATTTCCATGAACCCCTGATTTTGCAAAAATATTTTCCTCTTCTCTGTCCTTGATGGAGGGGAGTAGGCATTTCTTTATTTGCAGATATAAATGAGCACCTTAATGAAAGTCCTTCAGAATGTTACCCTCTAATGGGCTAGCCTTATTTAACTGGAATACTTCTGAAATGATTCAGCCTGGTAAGCCAGGCTTCATCTTGAAGGAAAATTTTGCCTCTGAGTTATGAACCCTTGCAAATAAGGTTTTATAATAGAAACACTGTCAGAACTTTAATTACAGAGTAATAAATAGCAATGCTGCATTATCTTCTGATATTTCTTTACATTCTGAACGAATATACACAGCTGTTGCTAGAAACTGATAATCAACTGCTATGGAACTGTGCTGCAACTTAGCACACAGCCGGCGTGGAGGCAGCAAGCGGCAGCGGGAGGAGGAGGAGGAGGAGGAGGAGGAAGGGGGACAGCGGCTGTTGGAGCAGAGCAGAGGCATCAGGAATGTGGTGCTGGCACTGGGGCTGAGTGGATGGTGATGGGGACAGAGAGGGGTGAAATGGGACCGATGGAAGATAAAGAAAAAAATAATAAGGAAATAATAATAATTATTATCATAAAAGTGGGCTAAGCGTGAGGCAGGGGCTGATGCTAGTGGTGAGCTCCACACAGCTCCGTGCATCCCGGTCCCCCACCTCTCTCCTGCCACTCATCATTATTTCCCTGTGCTGCTCGTGTTTGAAATTCGCCTCCTTTGGTGGCAGCTCTCAGTACGGTCTGGTCCGAACGCAGTCCTTCTATGCTGCCCAGGTACCCCAGGACCAGAGCACTGCCCACGGCTTGGGTTGGGCAACCCAGCCCCACACATGCCCCAAACCACCTCCGATGCCCCCCAAAACCCAACTCAAAACAGCAGCGGAGTGCGGGCGAGGAGGAAAGGGAGGGCTGCATGCGGAGGCTTAACCCTTTGAGCTTTGCAAGCAAAACAAGGAAATCGTCAGGAAGGCATGTCTGTAAACAATGATAATTAGGCTTTTCAAAAATCGTAACGCTGATTAAAATCTCCGATTCATTATTTATTCATCACAGAGCCTTTTTGCAGACCTGGGAATAGTGATTAAAACCAAAGTGCTCTTCGCATTCGAGAGGCGCCCAAAAAGGGGTTAACGGAGAGGAAAGAGGAAACCGAGCGGGCAGAATCCTGCCTTCAGAACCAGCACTTTCTCCTGGCGGGAGCCCTCCCATTCCCCCAAATTTTGGTATCGCTGCATGTTTCTCATCCTGAGTACAAGTGTTAGACTGGATCCAGTTGGTACTCAAATTGCAAACACACTTTCACTCCTAGGAACGCCGGGCAAAGGGAACTTCTTTTAACTCCATCATGGCAGGCTAGGCAGCCAATGCACAGCTGATGGCCAGCATGCCAAGTATGGTGCGAAGATCCGTTGTTTACAGCGAGGCGTTAGGCGAGCACAAAGGCTCAGACTGTCTAAGCTACAATTTGTGCCTCATCCCATTACGGCTCCCCTAAAAGGCCCGTGCCGTTGTAGGTAACGTGTGCACAGAACATATTTCTTTCTGTTGATTTTAGTTTGCTTTAATTCAATACACACTCTTGTTTACTTTTTAAAATTTAAATAAATGTCAGCATTGTATAATTTCTATGTTAACAAAGCAGTGAGCAAAATCCCTTGTATGTTTATAAAATATTATTGTTTAATTCACATAGTTTAGGAATTCCAAATGTTGAGAATAGGAAGGAGGCCAAATACCATCTGTTTATAACTATGATGCATCATCATATGTGTACTTTAAAAAAGAGGGAGGAAAAAAAAAAAAAAAAGCTTGGTCCATCATGCCACTGTTCTGTCTGTTGGGAATATGGTGAGGATTTAAAAGTGCTCACTGCAATTGGTGAGAGATTTCCACACGGAGGAACTCAGAGCAGGGAAGGTGCCGAAGTTGCTCACTTCTGTGCTCCCCTTGGAAGAACTGAGTGCAGTGCTCACATGCACAGATTCAGGCGCTGTCTCCCAGCCCTGACGTTCTCCCATTCAAAAGAAAAGATGTGGGGTTTTTTTTTTAACTCCTTTTAGATGTAGGGGATGCGTGTGTGTTTGTGGGTTCGCTTCCAGCTGGTGCAGGCATTTGCATCCCTGGATTTTTAAGGACAGAAGAAAGGCGCACGGATTTTGTAGCCTCTTGCAAAGCACAGCCCAGAGACCATCATTCAACTGATTCTTTAAATATTTTTTGTTCTTTTTTTTTTAATTATTAAATCAAATGTTTGCAAGTTTCGGTCCAAGATAAAAGAGGTCCTTGTTAAAAATAATGCATTCCACACTGCAGAGCTGTGTGCATTGAGCATTTTAAAGAGAAGGTATTCTGCAGGCTTAAAAACAAAGAGAGTATCTCCAAGTTAAGTCGATAAGAAGATTTTTTTTTCCAACCCCAAGTTAATTAGCTGGGACGTCAAGCCTCATAGTCATCTTCCTACCTTCCAGGAGCTGAAGAATCCCCACTAAATGTACTTAAACTTCCTAGCGAGGGCCGGTGAGATGAATGCGGAGATTAGGGTGAGCATTACCGTGCCTCCCCAGTGCATCCCAGCTGCAGCTCATCCCGCTGCTGATAATGATGCTCAGAGTCACTGAGGTGCTCTCTGAGGCTCGCACATGGGGTCCCGTCCCCAGGGAGGAGGAATAATAGCAGTGCTCGGGTGGTGAAGGGGGGTAAGCACAGTTTTGCGCTTCTCTTGGCCTGGTGTGCGGTGACTTGGCGGTGATGCTGGTTTAGTGAATGGAGAGGTGTGCTCAGGGTGGGGACTGCGATTCCCTGGTGGAGCAGGAGGGTTTGCTTTGTGTTCACCAGCAGGAAAAAAAGAAAAGCGCAGGTGAAGGAGAACACGTCGGGGCTTGCTGGCA